GCACTTCGCGCCCGACGCGAAGGCCGAGCCCGGGACACGGATGGTGGTCTTCCCTCAGGAAAGGGAGATCGCTACGTCGCCCTGGACGGCACGTCCCACAGGCCCGAGAGGCGGGCGGACCACACCGAGCTCGCGGAGATGCCAGCGGAGTTCGAGCGCACCCGCGCGCAGGTCCGAGCACTGCGGGACAAGGCATGGGCACGAGCCCTCGAGCAGAGGGCAAGCGACCTCTTCGACGAGATGGAGAGCGACACCGAGCACCACGAGCTCTCCGTCATCGCCGCCGCCAGGGCGGCGGCGATGACGGAGAGCTCGTGGTGCTCGGTGTCGCTCTCCATCTCGTCGAAGAGGTCGCTTGCCCTCTGCTCGAGGGCTCGTGCCCATGCCTTGTCCCGCAGTGCTCGGACCTGCGCGCGGGTGCGCTCGAACTCCGCTGGCATCTCCGCGAGCTCGGTGTGGTCCGCCCGCCTCTCGGGCCTGTGGGACGTGCCGTCCAGGGCGACGTAGCGATCTCCCTTGTCTGAGGGAAGACCACCATCCGTGTCTCGGGCTCGGCCTTCGCGTCGGGCGCGAAGTGCCGCAGTGAGCTGAGGGAGGGGGCGATGCTCGCCTCGCTCGACGCCGACTGCGGGCGCGACTGCGTGAAGGCGCTCTTGGTCCACGGTGCCGTCGGCTCCTGGTCGAACGCCCTGCGCAACGCGTGAGCCACCTCCCCCGCGAACGGCTCGATGATGCGGCGCGCTAGGTCCCCGCGCGCCGCGCTCTGGGGGTTGTCACTCAGCGCGCCGTCCAGTAGCGCAGCGAGCTGGCGCTCCAGCTTGCGAGGGATGCTGTCGGAGATGCCTCCCACCAGGTGCGAGGCGATCGGCACCTCGAAGCGACCCACCTCGACGGCACCACCCATCGTGATGATCCCCGTCGTGCCGAGAGTCGTCGCCTCGCCACGCAAATCCGAGACGGTGACGGGATGCTGGCTCTGTGTGGTCTCAGGCCCAGTGAGGTAGTGCACGAGACTATCCCGGATCCTGCTGACCAAGCTCCTCTTGTAGCTCGATCGGTCACACCGCCATCGCCGTCGGGGAGACCGGGGGGACGACACTGCTTCGGCAGCGTGCACCTCGATCCTGTACCGTGTTTGTTATGACCCCCCCCAATGAACACACCAGTGAGGGAGGGCGAGACGATCGAGGGGTCCCGTACCACGCGGAATCGACCCCCTATCCAGTGCTCAAGTGCTCAGGTAGCCCCCCATACTAGTAGCACCAGCCATGGCCTCAGGGAGCGCGGGCGAGGGCGCTGGGAGCAACACGGACAAAAAAACATCACCAAAAAATGGTCATTATGACACCATCACCAACCCGTATTTGCAACTAGTCCAGGACCACGAGGTGCGCAGCTCCTCTCTGGCCGCCGCGCGGCGCGCGCGCCCGCCGATCCGCAGGCGCGGCATGCGCGCTCTTGCTGTCGAGTGTCGTGTGCGACGAATGTATCTTGTATCAAGAGCTCCGTAATGCGTAAAATGGTAGTTAGATTGACCTCCTAAGAATAAAAAAATGCCTACGCGCACGACACGTACACACTCGAACCAGTCAGTGGTG